TTGTTTTTCATCATTGTACTTAAGCATTTCAGCGATGATCTCTGTATCAGTTATTTCACCACATACTGCAACATCTGCATCCAAGTTGAAATGCAATCTTTTAGTTTCATTTTTACGTCGTTTCTCTACGTAAAGAGTGAAAAAGATAGTGTTTTTCAAAAGTGAACTGTAGATTCATGTCAGAGTAAACGGTTATTCCTTGCGTCGTTTAACAGCCACCTTCTTCAATATTCGAATTTTAATACTAAAAATTATGAATTCTCGTTCCAAGAAAACTCATGATTCTTTCTAACTCTTAGTTATTTAATTTTAAACCTAAATTTATGTTATAGACAACATCGCCAATAATCACGGATTTTTAAGTTTGTCATTCTACTATTATTTTATTGTATATAGTATACTATTATATACCTATAAAGCTATAGTGGTCACAATAAAAACAATTTCTCTTGGAACATTTTCTCTGAAGTCCACTGTATTTTTATTTAGTAATGATACACTGACAACGGCAAAAAAGTGACCACCCTATAATTTTCTGAAAATAAAATTTCATTGGCAGTTTTATGCACTGTTTCCATACTCTGTACTCAACATCTTTCATTTTTAAAACAAAAAATGGCCATTCCTGCTTGATTACTTAGCATAATTAATTTAATTAGAAGGCTACAAAAGAAAATAATGTAATATCGAAACGAATTATAAACAATAAAAATTACCAGTGAACTTAAACAAAATTATCTAATATCGGGCATTATATCCTAAAACATTAATATCCGTTTGCATCCAATTTGGAAGGAAAAGGAACAAATTTTAAATAAAAGCTTAAGGAATCTGTTCATATTTTTCACGAAGCATGTTTTGAAGTTCTGCAAGACTTTCTGGCTGGCCTGGTTGACTTTTAATTCTACGATGAATTTCATCCCAAAGATGATCGATCAGGGCTGTAAGCTGGCCATTCTAGAGTATTAATTCCTACTTCCCTCAAGTAATTTGTCACAATTCTTGCACTATGCTGCCGTGCATTATCAAGCATAAAGGCGAAATTGCCCCAAATAAGTAGACCAAATTGAACTACTGCTTTTGCCAAAACATCCTCTATATACAGGTGAGCATTCAGGGGGCTGTTGATGAAAATAAGTTCAGTTCGAGCTTCAAATGAGATTCCTGCCCAAACTGTGATCCCGCCCCGCCAAAATTTCTTTTCTGGGATATAAAAGTTTGGGCATATCTTTCATTTCTCCGTCTCTCGACCACCACCAGACTTCAAACAGAACCCTGATTCATCAGTAAATTGAATTCGGCTCCAATTCTGTATATCCCAGTGTTCATGTTGTCGAGCAAAAATTAATCGATTCCTACATTGCCTGGGTTGTATTTGCGAAACAATAGCCGGCCTTCTTGCCATTAGTGTTTTTTCATTGAGGTGTGTTCTAACAGTTCTCTCACTTACATTCACAATCTCCTGCAGACGGTTTCTTGCAACAATTGTAGTAGAATGGCGATATTTTAAAAGTTCCATTATAATAAAACGATCATCTGGGTGGCCACTTTTTTTGGCGTTCAGCGTATAACCGTGTACCACGATAATCTTTTATCAACGATATTTTCAGCAGTAAGTTTTCGTTATCAAGGGTAAAAATAAAAATATGTATAAAACTTAAATTTATTAACGAATTTTACAACTTCTTACTGTTATTGTAATATTGATAATTTACAAACCAATAAAATAACATTTGAAACTTTCAAAATAAAAAAACACTATGTTTCTAATAACCCAATTTTGACCTAGAACAGAGCTTTTTCCATGATTAGCAAAAATATTTATGAAATATTTTAGAACAAATAATATAAACAAAATTAAAACAATACTATGATGGATACATAATGATATCTGCTCGATATGGCCATCATGTGAAAACTTTTATTTTGGTAAAATTTTCAAGACTACTAAATGTTAGAATAAATCAATATTAATCTTAACAATAAAAATACATACTATGACAGATCTAAGATATACAAATTATACATGATACAACAATAGCGCAATAGTTTCCAAAGAATTAGATAATTTGAAATAGATCAAAGAAGCTATACTAATTTTGGTACATGAAATTGCGTCGCAAATTTCTTACTAAAAGTTGGTAGGATTTGGTTGCAATAAAAGAAGAAATACACATATTCTATACTAAAAAATTATATTGAATTAAAATAAGCAATATGAAACGAAATCAAATTGGATTTCAATAGTAAGTGTAAACAAAATATTCTTCTAAATACAGTGTCAGGATTCTGGTTTATCTCATGATATAGAATGTAATTATTGATAAGAGTAGCATAACTAAAAAAGGTGATTCATTTAACATATAAAACTTATACATGTAAATATACAAACATGTAATGATAACTAAAATTTACAAAAATATTCAACTTTTGAGTTATGTTTTTACACTTATCTTGCATAGATTGCCTACCACAAAATATACATAAGCCATTTCTTCAAATTTTAAGAGTTGCAAATTGTATGAGATGTAATTATAAATCGTTACTTAATTGACAATGTCAATGATAAGGATAAGCTTAAAAAGTAAAGTTTTAGTATTGTTCTTATAATTTTATCAAAGTTGAAGACTTTAATACACACAATTTATGTGTGCAAAATTCTTACGTGTTTATACATCTGCCCAAGATTAATTAAAATGTTGACAAGGCAGTCAGAAAGAAAGTTAAGTTTTTACATTCGGTTTATGTAAAGCATGGACTAAGAAAAGCGCGAATAAATAATATAATAAGTAAGTTGCTCTCCAATTTATTCCTACTAATACTGATATGGCTGTTTAAAAACTGTTTTATTGGTTTTTTCCATCATTAAAAAAGGTATTCAAATATTCATTTTACTTATAACTTCAGTTAGTTGCATCGACCACATTTACACTTTAACTCAGCCAAATGAAAAAAGAATGGCTAAGGATAGACCAACTCATCTAATGTTTGTGGACTTAAGGAAAGCTTATGTATGGACTATGGCAAGCACTGGAAAGCTCATATGTTAATATTACACCCGTGAAGATAATACAGAGATTTTTCAACGATCTTCGATGAAAAATAATGATTAGTAACCAGTTCTCCGTTTTTATCGTAAATAATGAACTAAGACAAGGTTGCAGTATATCTACGACACTCTTCAAAATCTACCTGAGTGAGTCACTGAAGAAATGGATGAGATCATGTTCTGGAATGGTTATGCCATTAAACGACGAAACAACTCTATATACGCTTTATTTCGCGGACGATCAAGTAGTCATCTAGGAAGATCAGTAATTCATGACAAAGCTATTAATACAGGAAGACGGGAAACTAAATGTCAACTCAACAAAAATGAAATACATGTGCATAGGAGCTGAAACGATGAACTAAACTTAAAAGATGGAAATGTAATTTCGTCATTTTCCGAATATATCTATTTGGAGGCAAAGATGGCTGAAACAAAAATCGAAGAACGAATTTCACAAGGGAAAAAATTATAGACGCGCGAAACCTGGCAACTAACTAAGATAACGGAACAAAAACTCCATGTTCTGGAAATTGATAATAAGACGAATCATAGAGAGATAAACATGGAGAAGAATAAGACAGATCATGGAGAGAACAACCACCACCATAGAAGAAATACAGCAAAACAGTTTATTTGGTACGGACATGTACAGAGAATGACAGACCATTGCCTACCAAAGGTAATATTGGATTGGCAGCCACCTGAGCGAAAAAAGCGAGGAAGACCGAAAACAACATGGCTCTTCTTCTTCTTCAAGTGCCGTCTTCGTTCCGAAGTTTGGCTATCATCAAAGCTATGCGTATTTTTGATGCTGCAGATCTAAACAGTTGGTAATTGGTGCAATTGTACCATTCTCTCAAGTTTTTCAACCATGAATGCCTTCTTCTTCCTATAGATCTCTGAAGAAGATAGATCATAGAACCTGGCTCAATGAAGTCCAAAAGGCATTATCTCAAGAGAGATACTACTACCAGATCTACGACCAGGAGACTGGGTCGATAGACGCAGGACGCGGACATAAACCGGACATTATATGTAAATACAGTTAGTCCATGTCCAAATGTAGGACCAACACTGCCCCCAGAGTAAACCACAGGTTGAACCTTGGGACTAATAGGTACACTTATATGGTAAGCATTAATTTATGCGTTTGTTATAATAGTTATTAGTTTATTATCTGTTTAGTGCCTAAATTTACTTTGTTTCACCGGGATAAGACATATTTCAGTTTCAAATTAAGTACGAAAAAAATAAAAAAATAACAGTAAATTTTGTCCTAAGGTACATGCCTTTCTCCTACAATATTTAGCTTAAACATTAAGATACAAGAAAACAGTTTCAGAACCTCTTCACATGAAGAAGGTTGTGCGCATATTTCTGGCGTCTGAGCCGAACAGTGTGGAAAATATAGGAGGCTTAGCCACAGAGCTGGATGGAGCTGACCACAGCATCCAACGATCTAAAAGATGAGATGTCTAGTCTGTATTATCACACGTAATGTAACAGACGAAACATTAAGGAAGAGGTATTTTCCTTATAATTTTAAACTACGATGATACATTTAGAAAACAATGTGCCACTGGTCAAACTTTGTATCTTAAAACTATCGTAATTTGGTTTTGTTATCATATCATGCATACAAATAAGGGAAGCTCTTCAGAGGTAGAGATTTACAACGATTGAACGAAATTAGATGAAGTACATGGAAGCTATTTAGATGTAGGAATTTATGTACAATATTTGAACAAGTTGCCTAATGACAGACAGCAACAGTTAACCATGTAATTTTTCTTTGATACGATGAATACAGAAAATGGCAATATTAAGGAGAGTATTGTATTTACACGTTAAGTGATATTTAAGAAACCAGTCATTCAGTCCGCTTGTTTTGCATGCCTATAAGCCTATCTTGACATTGACAAATTAATAAAAAATAAGCAGGTATTACCTAACTTAAATTTGAAAATCTATGATCAATTGAGGTATTTGTTGTTTCAGGAGCAACTCTAAAATTTATTATTTTTTCTCCAGAATAGCATTGTTTTAGATCTTGTAACTGTAGTTGAATTTCATCATTGAGCTCTAATTTAAATCGTTTAATGTTTGTAGCCAATAAGCGACTATTTTTTATTTGAACTTGGAAGCTGGGTACCGTACGTCTTAATCTAATTACTGACTTTTGCATATTCACTGTTGAATCGTTCGCTATTGCTGCCTGCAATCTTTGGTTTTCCCGTATTTTATTTATACGCATCTGTGCATAATTGATTGGCTTAAGTCGGTGCCTAATAGTATTATTGAGGGTAATATTTTTGTTGAGACGTCTCTTCGGTGGAACTGCTGAAGTGCTGGTACCAGTGTATGCGACTCTGCCTAATCGATGTTTAACGGGTCGCTTTTGGGTTTCACGTATCATAGGGCTTACACATGAAGTACCATTTTTCTTGTAATAAATCTCCTGGGCAAGTTTTTTTCTTTCTGTGCGTTCTCTCATTGGTTCTAAATTCTTCTGAATGATATCTAAAATATAATTATTTTATTACTTTAAAATAAAACCTATGATGCAATCATTACAGAAGTTAATAAGTACTTTAATTAATCGCATTTTGTTTCCTAATGTTCTACGTTTTAGTACTATCAGCATTGTGCTTATATATATATATATATATATATAATATATATATATATATATATATATATATATAGATATATATATATATATTATATATATATATATACAATACTCCAATATTTGGGTGTGCAGCGGAAGATGGGACAAAGAAGTACTCTTTTTAGTTAACCAAGCTTTCGCAAATCTTTATTTGCATCATTAGGGTGCTACAATAAACAGAATTAGTATAAATTACAAAGTAAGACTTACTTTGCCTCTTACACTAATTGAGGTTAGTTGTCTTGATGTTTATTAAATGAAACTGGGAACTCATTTGACCCCTACAACTATGGCGATAGTTTTGGCAAATGACAAATATTGGAGTATTGTATTCTATTTGATCAGCGTTGATTACAAGCGTTCATCGCTTTTTCAGTATATATATATATATATATATAGAAGAGGTCTCCTAGATGTTAGCGTCTATGATATTTTTAATCAAATAGTAAAAAACTTGAATTAAAAACAATTAAAATTTTATGGATTTACTTATATTTTCTAATATTTCATATGGGAATTGACATCAATAGAATGACGAAAAAACACATTAAAATGGGAGAACTTTCTTCAGCGTAGTATGCACTTAATAAGGTAAATGTTTTATACTTTTGATTTGTACTGAGAATACTGTGAGTTATGTTGGAAGTGATTTTTAGAAATGCATTTATAATAAGCTGATTCCAACATGACTCACAGTATTCTACAATAAAAATAAAAAGATCCAATATTTACCCTGTTAAGTAAACCCAACTATTCTTCTGTTGCGCTACAACAACAGAAGGACATAAATGGAAATAAAAGAAGAGTTCTACGAACAGCTAAATGAAGTATATGATAGCTCACCGAGAAATGACATTAAGATCGTGAATGAAATGAAATTGGAGAATTACTAATCAACTTTTCCAGTAGAAAACATGATCATAAGCTCGACTTTTTTCCACACCGCGATATACACAAAGAGACATGGATTCTAAGAATAGTAAAGGAATACAAAGCTTATTTTTCACTCGCCCATATGTTCCGCTCCAAAAACACACACTGGAGATCAAAAATCAGGGTCTACAAAACTATTATCAAACCAATAGTACGTTATGGATGCGAGACATGGGTGATGATAGAAAACACAAAAAGAAAGCTGGAGGTATTTGAAAGAAAAGTCCTAAGTTAGATATTTTTACTTATTAACGAAAACAGAGTATGGAGATCCAAGTACAACTGTGAACTCTAGCAACCGTTCAAAGAGACACCGATCTCAGATTTCGTTAAACTTTAGAGACTTCGATAGGCTGGTCATGTAGTGCGAATGGAGACCAACAGATTGGCCACGGAAAAATTGGGAGGATGAAGTGGCAGCGGACACGCAAAATTTGTTAGATGTAAGAACCTGGAAATGATCGGGGCAAGACCGGCAAGTTTGTAGAAGGCCAAGGCTCGATTTGGGCTGTAGCGCTATTGGAGAGAGAAAAGTGAACTCATATTTGAACACCAGAATTAGTTCTTCCATTTTAGTGTGTTTTGTTGTCCTTGTAAATTGGTTTTGTGCTGTTTTTAAGTGATTTTCTGTTTTAAAATTTAATATCATAGTGTTAAAGAACCTCCTCAAATTACAATGGCTTTATAGAACAGAATAACCACTAAATAAATAAATATGTCTTTTTTTCTGCTTTATTGATATGCTGCTCATGCCGATTTTCCTAGGGTGTCCTAATGCCCTTCTTCCGATTCTCGATCTGTCTCTTGCTATTTTTAATGTTTTTTTTCCTGTCATTATACTTTGCTTCTTTTTGTTGACAGGTTTATTTCCTCTATTTATTTAAATATTTAAATGTGAATATAAATTTATATATCTTCTTATCAATATACTGGCTTTACATCCATGTGCAGTAAGGTATTCTCCCCACCAGCACTATCCTGGCATAAACAAGCTGATAGTATACTTACTTTCGACCACTTTCAATGTATCATTATATATGTATTATTATGATACACTTCATACTCATTATAGACTTAGTATTGATATAATTTATATTTCATAAACTATAACAACCAGAACATTTCTTTTTTAGTGGTTAATTAACTTTAATAGTGAACCTGACAATGGGCTGACATTGCAGAATTCAAAACCTATCCTTCAAGTTACAATAAAATCAATTGCGAGTAAGCCTTTCGTTGTCTATATTTATCTATCGAAAATAATAAATACTCTAAATACACAAAATGTTCAATGCTGAATCCCAATCATTCAATTTTTTTTTTATATCCGACTAAGTTTTAACAGTTGTTAGTTTCAACTGATTTTTTGTTTTGACAGTTGTTAGTTTCAACTGATTTTTTGATAAAAGTGCATGATTTCTATTTACTGTTACTATTAACTGATTTAAATAGTGTTCTAAAGAGAAATACGTACATATAAGTTTAAGTGTAAACATCAAAATTATTTTAAAGTAAAATTATAGCTTATTCCCAATAAAAATAGTAAACTTTAGTAATAACCAAAATTCACATTCCCAAATTAAAAGAAGATTTTAAAATATTTGCTTATGCATCCTGCATCCGGCGTACAGAAAATTTGAAAATACTATATATATATATATATATATATATATATATATATATTATATATATATATTATATATATATATATATAGGTTTTCTAGAATCATATACTAGGTTTTCTTACCATCCAATGAAGACTCAACTAAAGATTCCGGCAAATGTCGTTTTAGGTGAAATTTAACTGGCGCTAAAAAAAAATAGAAACATTAAATGGTAAAAACATAAATTTATAGTAATTTATGAAAGGAGCAAGTTTGTTATATATAATTATCGAAGTGGGACAATTGCCAGACATTGTTAGACATATATGTGAAGAAACCAAAGTATGCAGAAATGAGTTTAGATTTATGCACGGCAGATCAAAAATTGATGAAATTTTCATTCAACCTGCTGAAAAGTATAGAAATAAAGAAATAAATGTTCAACAAGTGTTTATTGATATTGGGAAATCATATCAGGGGCTCATAAATTTCATGTACATTTAGAACTGCATCAGGGCTTAGTGCTTACCTCTCATTTCTTCACATTAGTGGTGATTTGGATAACAGGGAAAGTGTTAATGTTAATGTGTGCTGATGATGTTTTGTTATTAGGAAATACTAAAAGGGGTTTTAAGCAAAGACTAGAACAGAAGAAATAGGTTCTTGGGTAAAAAGTTTTAAAATTTAATAGGGCAAAAACAAAATATCTAGAATATTTATTTAAAGATGGAGTTATTACAACAAATAAGATGACAACTCTGTATTATTAAAAGTAGTAATTTTAGATAACTAGAATCAGTACTACAGAGTAATTGGAAGATAGATAAAGATGCCAGCAGTAGGATTGGGAGGGGAAGTATGCAATGGAAGGATGCGAGTGGTATGGTAATTTACAATATAATGGTAATATTATTACAATCTAATTATATCTACAAGCTTTGCCTACATATTTATGTATTTTTTTCTTTTTTGATTTGATGCTCTATATCTGTTATCTGGAAATAATAAATTGGTGTATATTAGGATACATTTAATCTTTTGATTAACACTTTTTTCTTCTTAGTGATTTATGGTATTTAACACCTTACAACGCCACAATGAATAATAAAAAAAAGTTATGTGGGCCAAAATATTAAACACATTTAAAGTATTAGTCTATGCATTTTTAATACTTATGCTTTACATTTTTATTGCTTTTTAGAACTATTTTAAGTGAGAAGCACATGTGCATCTCATGGCCACAAATAACATTTGGATTCCTGGAGCCATGTGATGCACACTTGCTTCTCGTATAAGACAAGAATAAACTTCTAGTAACTTGTTTATTTTATGTTACACTCGCTAGACAAATGCACTACGTGTTAATTATTAGTTAGTTGTTGGTAGGCGAGGTTGTAGTGTGTATTATCAGTTCTCAATATGTCATATGAAAAGGAGCAATTAAGCGTTTGCATAAGCTAGTGGAAGAGTCTTTTTCAGACGAAGAGAGTGATGACAGTGTTCGTTATAAAAATTTTGAATTAGATAGTGATGACGAAATAAGTAGTTCTTCGTCAAATCAAGGTGTTCCGGAGAGCAAATAACAAAAAATGCAAGGTAATTTACAAGATTTACCTTCAACATCGCAAAACTTACGAACAGTAGACGATAGCATTGAAAATGATATTTCCCAATATCGATTGCCAGATGATGAAAGCTCATCAGAAGACAATGACATTTTGATTGATCATAACCAGCCCTTGTTATGGAACATAGTAGATGGTCAGAACTTGAAAAACATTAGATTCAGTGTTCAAGACTCGGGTATCAAAGCCAAGTTTTTTTAGATGTATGATAAAACTCCCCTTCACTTTTTTCAACTATTTGTGAATGACGATATTATTGATTGGATTGTGCAAGAAACTAATCGATATGCACATCAAACGATGAATATAGGTGGTCACGGTCCAATAACTAGAATTAATAAGTGGGTAGATACAAATACCAAAGAAATATAGTCATTTTTGGCCATTCTTGTCTGGCTGGGATTGCAAAGATTGCCAAAGTTGTGTTTGTATTGATCAAAAAATCCATTATATGAAAGCAAAGTAAAGTGTCTTATGTAACGTAATCGTTTTGAATTATTACTTGCCAATTTACACTTTAGTGACAATGAAAATAGTGATAAAGGACTTCGACTTTATAAACTATCACCATTATTGGAGAAATTGATATCAAATTTTCAGAGAGTGGTAGTGCCGGGGGAAGAACTCTGCATTGATGAAACTGTAGTTCCGTTTGGGGGCCGACTGTCATTTCGGCAGTATATCAAAAACAAGAGACATAAATTCGGGGTGAAGGAGTACAAACTCTGTTTGGATGGAGGTTATACTTATGATCTACAAATTTATTGTGGTAATGATAAAACTGAAAATATGTCAGTTCCGGATAGTGTAGTGTTTAGTTTAGCTAATAACTTGTTAGATTAGCACATGGGTTGCTAAAAAAAAATACAAATTTGGTGAGAACTTTAGGCAAAACAGGAAACTTAATCCGAAAGAAGTGACAGGTGCAAAATTAAAGAAAGGGGAGATTATTGGGATGGAGAGTAACACAGATTTAGTAGTAACTAAGTGGAAGGACAAACGCGAAGTGCTTATGCTGAGTACAAAGCATACTGCTGAAATGGTAGACATCCATCAAAGGGGAGGAATTGTTTCCTCCCCTTTGGCCAGTTTCTGTTGTCGACTACAATAAGAGTAAAGTTATATAGATATATCCAACCAACTAAAGGCTTACTCTACAGCATTACGGAAATCAGTGAAATGGTATCATAAAATGGCAATTGAGCTACTTCTAGGGTCAGCTATTGTCAACGCCTATATAATTTATCAAAAAGTAACCAACAAGGTCACCATATGGATGAAGTGCAAGTTCGGCCAGAAGAAGATGTGTCACATGTTATGCAAAAAATTCAGCTGAAAATGGTAGAAAATTTGCACAGACTAAAACTCCCTTTTCCCATTTCAGGTGCATTCAGTGCGATAAATTTTATTGTATTACATGTTTTGCGAGGTTCATTCATGTAATCTATAGAAATTTGTATATATGCAAATATTATATTTTTCATTTATTTCTTAACTAGAAACATGTATTGCTAATTTTAAGAAACATTTGCTGATCTTTTGTATTAAAAAACAGTTGTTTACATTATATATAAATAAAATTTAGTTTCAAGCTACATAATAACATTTTGTTTTATTGCTAGACACTAGTATCCTAAAATACAGGCTAAATATATAAAAGAGTTTATCAGGCCACTGAGAAACTGTATTTCAAATAAATGAATGGGTACTGTGAAGTGTGGATGAATGCTAGCCAAGTAGCCTGAAATACACTAAGGGTATGAGATGCAAAGGTGCTTCTCATGTCGTCAGTAAGTTCAGTGACTGAGATGCACACTTGCTTCTCATGGCGTTTAACATGTTAATAGTGTCTCAAATATAATCTTAAAATTTGTTATTTCTAGTACCACTAAACAAGTTATAAAATACATGTCATGCCTGAATGGATAAATATTTTATAAATTCAAATTCATGCAATCAACCCCCTCTGTGGCTCAGTGGTAAGAGCGCCTACCTTTAAAGCTAAAGGTAGTGAGTTCGAATCTCATCTGGGTGGAGAAATATTCGTTAATTAAAAATTAATAAATGAAAATAATTTCTATCCTTGTGTGATCGGTACTCACCGGAGGGACCACAGATGTTCAGATACAATTAGCGTCTCTTAGCAAAGACAATGACGTCAACTTTGCTAAGTATCAAGACAATTACTTCACACACACACACACACACACACACACACACCACACACACGCACACACGCA